ATCAAATGATGAAGCGGCAGTAGAAAGAGGAAGATAGCATAGACTAGTTGGCAAACTCATCTACCTGTCTCACACGTGACAAAACAACTTATGCGGTGAGTGCTGTAAGCCGATTTATGCACAACCTAAAAGAGTCTCATCTTCAAGCAGTGAATAGAATTCTGCATTATCTCAAGTTTACACCAGGAAAGGAAATACTTTACAAGAAGAGTGTAGTATTGAGTTTGGAAGCCTATACGGATGCTGATTGGGCAGGTTCAGTTACAAATAGAAGGTTTTACTTCAGGATATTGCACCATGTTAGGAGGAAACTTAGTAACTTAGAGGAGCAAGAAACAACCTGTTGTAGCAAGATCAAGCTAAAGCTGAATTTAGAGCTATGGCACACGGAATGTGTGAGATGCTATGGTTAAAAATTTTCCTTGAAGATTTGAGAGTCAAATGGTACGAAACAATGAAACTTTATTGTGATAACAAATCTACTATCAGCATTGCACATAATCCGATTCAACATGATCGGACTAAACATGTCGAAATTGATCGACACCTCATAAAAGAAAAGTTGGATAGCGGATTGATATGCACACCACATGTTTCAACAGACAAACGACTGGCAGATAGCTTGACCAAGAGATTAACTAATCCTATGTTTCGGACAATCACAAGCAAGCTGGGAATGGAGGACATTTATCATCCAGCTTGAAGGGGAATGTTGGAGAATCCAAAATTTATCCTTAAAATCTATCAAATCTATATTAACAGTCATGTACAGCTGTCTAATTTATTCTTAGTAGGATTCTAATCAATCATTAATTACTAGAATATTTTTTCATATTACAATCCCTAATTTGTAGAAGTCAATAGGCTAGGAATCTTACGCAGAATAGCTCCTTTTTTGTGTATAAATTATGTACCAATCTCTCTATTGTAATACATGATACATTTTTCCTAATACAATAATTTCTAGACCCCTAACACTGCAAGCTATAACAGATGAAAAGTATAGGAGAAGAATAAGAAGAAAACTCATAACTTAAGGAAATTATAAAAATAAAAATGAAAGTCTTTGGGCGCGTTTGGAGCTCGTTCCAAAATAATTTTGCTTTTTGTATGAAAATGAAAATGAAAACGTTTTCAATATCAGGCAGAAATCATTTTTAAAAATGCGTTTGGTAGTTTTATCAAGAGATTGTTTTCAGTATAAAAAAACCCATTAATGTCTCTCTCTCTCTCTGCTCGAGAGAGGAGAAAACGAAAACAAAAAATGAAAAATGACTAAAAGTCGTTTTTCATTTCTCTCTCATTTTACACAACAACAACAACAAGTCTTAATCCCACCTTAATTGGGGTCGACTACACTTTTCCACACAACTCTGTTCGTAATTAAACTTTCCTGAATGCCTAGATCTAGAATGTCTTTCCTAACGACTTCGGTCCACGTAATTCTTGGTCTACTCCTCCCTCTCTTAGCATTAGGTATAAGAATGTCCTCCCAAGCACGAACTGGTGCTTCTAGCGGTCTACGCTAGACATGCCCGTACCACCTCAAGCGGCATTCATGCACCTTATCTTCTATTGCTACTACACCTACTTTACTATGAATAACTTCATTCTTTATGCGATCTATTCTCGTATGGCCACTCATCCATCTTAACATACGCATTTCTGCCACTCATCTTAGATATATGTTGTCTCTTAATGGCCCAACATTCACCACCGTATAACATAGCTGGGCGGATTACAGTCCTATAGAACTTTCATTTCAACTTAATAGGCATCTTGCCATCACATAAAACTCCCGTAGCATTCTTCCACTTAACCCACCCTGCCTTAATCCTATGTTGAATATCCTCTTCTATATCTCCTTCGTATTGCACTATAAACCCAAGGTACCTAAACTTCTTAAAAGCCCCAATCTCCACACCATCTAAAGAAATTACATCACTTTGATTACTTGAGTTACTAAACCTACAATGCATGTATTCAGTTTTCGTCTTACTTAACTTAAATCCCTTTGTCTCGAGAGTCTGTCTCCACAGTTCTAACTTCGGTTAACTCATTCCCTATGTTCATCAACTAAAACTATATCATCCGCAAAAAGCATACACCAAGGAACTCAATCTTGAATTTCTCTTGTCAGCTCATCCATCACGATGGTGAAAAGACAAGGACTAAGAGCAGATCCTTGATGAAGACCGATCCGAATGGGAAACTCTGTCGTGTAGCCTCTAGCAGTTCTCACGCTCGTGACCACCCCATCGTACATGTCCTTAATTACCTTAATATACCTCACATGCACTCATCTCTTTTCTAGCACCCACCATAAAACTTCCCTCAGCACCCTATCATATGCATTTTCTAAATCTATAAAGACCATATGTAGGTCTGTCTTGGCTTCTCTGTACCTTTCCATCAACATCCTAAGAAAAAAAATGACTGCCGTGGTTGATCTGCCTGGCATGAAGCCAAATTGGTTACCTGAGATGGTAGTTGTGGCCCTTAATCTCCTTTCGATAACTCTCTCCCAAAGTTTCATAGTGTGGCTTATTAACTTTATGCCCCTCTAATTGTTACAATTCAGCACATCTCCTTTATTCTTGAAGATGGGGACAAGAATATTTTTCCTCCATGCATCAGGCATATGCTTCTTCTTTAGTATCTCATTCAAAAGCTTAGTGAGCCACACAATTCCAGCATCTCCTAACGCAATCCAAACCTCTATTGGAATATCATCTGGCCCACATGCCTTCCCCTTTTTCATCTTCTGTAGTGCAGTTTTAACTTCATTTTACACAAAACCAAAAAATTGTTTTTATTTCCGTTTTGTCTTTATTGCGCCAAACGCCGTTTTGGAAACGTTTTCATTTTTTCTTTCTCAAAAAACGTGGGAAACAAAAACGGGATCAATTCCAAACACGGATGTTTCTAATGTTTCAATGTTTCTTATAATAAAAATAAAAATAAAAATAGAGGAATAAAAACTAATCTAGGGAACTGGTTGGAAGTCATCAGCAGAATAGAAATAGTTCAAAAGTTAATAGGAAAGGGCAGAAAGAGAATTGTCTATCGAAATTCATGAACACTTTTGGGGAAAAGTCAAAATATTTCTAGAAATTTCGCAAACATGATCGATCACACACAACATCAAACGTGTACTTATCAAGTACATAATTTTCTGATAAACAACTTAGCTAACTAAAATTATTCAGGGGCAAGCAGCTAGTGTTGATCAACAATAAGGGAAGGTGAAAAGATCATTTTCCCTGGGAAGAGAAGCTCTCTTAGGATGCTAAACCTCATTTACCCATAATAAACAAATGTATAAAACTGTGGTTCCTTATAGAAATCTCCTCTACATATGAAAATCGTCGATATTGGAGAAACAGTAATGAGTTTAGAAGATACATGCAGCGCATGTATACAAAAAGAGATGCACGTAAGGAAGCAACATAGAGTTACCACTTACAAAATTACATCACTTTGATTACTTGAGTTACTAAACCTACAATGCATGTATTCAGTTTTCGTCTTACTTAACTTAAATCCCTTTGTCTCGAGAGTCTGTCTCCACAGTTCTAACTTCGGTTAACTCATTCCCTATGTTCATCAACTAAAACTATATCATCCGCAAAAAGCATACACCAAGGAACTCAATCTTGAATTTCTCTTGTCAGCTCATCCATCACGATGGTGAAAAGACAAGGACTAAGAGCAGATCCTTGATGAAGACCGATCCGAATGGGAAACTCTGTCGTGTAGCCTCTAGCAGTTCTCACGCTCGTGACCACCCCATCGTACATGTCCTTAATTACCTTGATATACCTCACATGCACTTCTCTCTTTTCTAGCACCCACCATAAAACTTCCCTCGGCACCCTATCATATGCCTTTTCTAAATCTATAAAGACCATATGTAGGTCTGTCTTGGCTTCTCTGTACCTTTCCATCAACATCCTAAGAAAAAAAATGACTGCCGTGGTTGATCTGCCTGGCATGAAGCCAAATTGGCTACCTGAGATGGTAGTTGTGGCCCTTAATCTCCTTTCGATAACTCTCTCCCAAAGTTTCATAGTGTGGCTTATTAACTTTATGCCCCTCTAATTGTTACAATTCAGCACATCTCCTTTATTCTTGAAGATGGGGACAAGAATATTTTTCCTCCATGCATCAGGCATATGCTTCTTCTTTAGTATCTCATTCAAAAGCTTAGTGAGCCACACAATTCCAGCATCTCCTAACGCAATCCAAACCTCTATTGGAATATCATCTGGCCCACATGCCTTCCCCTTTTTCATCTTCTGTAGTGCAGTTTTAACTTCATTTTACACAAAACCAAAAAATTGTTTTTATTTCCGTTTTGTCTTTATTGCGCCAAACGCCGTTTTGGAAACGTTTTCATTTTTTCTTTCTCAAAAAACGTGGGAAACAAAAACGGGATCAATTCCAAACACGGATGTTTCTAATGTTTCAATGTTTCTTATAATAAAAATAAAAATAAAAATAGAGGAATAAAAACTAATCTAGGGAACTGGTTGGAAGTCATCAGCAGAATAGAAATAGTTCAAAAGTTAATAGGAAAGGGCAGAAAGAGAATTGTCTATCGAAATTCATGAACACTTTTGGGGAAAAGTCAAAATATTTCTAGAAATTTCGCAAACATGATCGATCACACACAACATCAAACGTGTACTTATCAAGTACATAATTTTCTGATAAACAACTTAGCTAACTAAAATTATTCAGGGGCAAGCAGCTAGTGTTGATCAACAATAAGGGAAGGTGAAAAGATCATTTTCCCTGGGAAGAGAAGCTCTCTTAGGATGCTAAACCTCATTTACCCATAATAAACAAATGTATAAAACTGTGGTTCCTTATAGAAATCTCCTCTACATATGAAAATCGTCGATATTGGAGAAACAGTAATGAGTTTAGAAGATACATGCAGCGCATGTATACAAAAAGAGATGCACGTAAGGAAGCAACATAGAGTTACCACTTACATTTCGTCTGCCATTTAGTCTGCCTAGTCTTGAGCTCACATTCACAATACGTGCACCAACAGCTGAAGGTTTCATCAAGGGGATCATAGCTTCAATCATCTTTTTGGTTCCGAAATAATTGGTTGCTACAACCATCCGGGCCTGCTCAACAGAATTTTCACTTCCAATATTGAAATTAACTCCAGCATTATTCACCTGAAAAAATTAAAAGATGTTATTTATAACGTTAACAATATGATTCGTGGTGAACCTAGATTATAGGACTCAATGTTTCTGGTCGACACCCATATCTAGCATTTTCAAGTTAACCCACATTTTGAACAAAATGATAATCCTTTGTTAATCAGCTAAAAAAAGCTAAGCAAGAACAAGTTATTTACGTAGAAACATTTAATGAGATTCAGACTCTGAGAATAATAGAAGTATTCAATAATGGGTAGCCCACCAGAATATCCAAACCACCATAGTTTTGGTGTAGCCAGTCAGCAAAGTTCTTAATGGATAAAGGGTCTAAAACGTCAAGTTGATGGAAGGCCACATTAAGACCGCCTTCTTGTAGGACCTTGGCCGCTTCAAGGCCAACGTTGCTGTCCCTGGATGTCAGTATAACTGTCAATCCGTGTGCAGCGAGCTGCCTCGAAATATCGAATCCGATTCCCCTGTTACCCCCGGTTACCACAGCTATGGTTTTGGCAGACCACCACCTATAGTAGTGCAAAAATAAATAAGTAAACAAATATATATTTCCCCAAAAACGCAAAACCAAGAAAAACAAGAACGCACTTTTGATAATTTTCCTAAAAAATGGACTATCCATTGGTACTATGTTTGGTAGAGGAGAAAAGAGGGAAGAAAGACAAATAATGAAGAATCTATCTAATACAAAAATACTATTTACCACTATTGAGGGTACAATCCCCACATAGAATGTTGCTGCAATCTATCTAAATGGTCCTTGAACATAAGATTGACTGTGTTACGCCTATCCAGCGTCAATGTTACGTTCAATAACTGTAATGTTATGTTTTTTATCCGGATGGCCATAGCAAAAAGCCTCACCACATAGGTCACTGCATTAAAACTCCCACATAGAAGTGTGGGACCTATACATTTACTTTTTGCTGGGTAACAGTTCTATCTATAAACGTTATCATTCGCAATGCGACAATTCTGTCTACTGCCACAAATGTGGTTATGCATCACCAACAATAATGAATACTCGTGCTCATACAAGAAATAAGAGATTTTTACCAGACAAAAAAAAAAATGTTACTACTTGCATGGATAGTCATATCACCACTCGGTTATCTTCTTTTTTTAAAACCAAAATAATATTGACTAATTGGCAAAACAATACTGGTTAATCAATCATTTCTTTCCGTTTTTTTTTTTTTTTTTTACTTCCTATAATTCTAAACAAGTTAAAAAACAAACCCTTTCTAGTTTATGCCATGCCTTATTCTAACCCTCCTCTTTTCTTTCCTTCTCACCACAAACACACAAATGGGCGCGCAAACATATACGTATTATACTTTTTTTTGTTGGCTGAATATATACGTATTATACTATTTTTTATATATATATTGGCCACTCTAAAACTCATAAATTCGAAGAAATCATTGTTGTTATGCAAGGAAAAATCTATTAGAGAGAGAAAAACAGAGAAAACCTCTGATGATCTGAATAGGGTATGGTTCTGAGGAGGGAAATCTCTTGGCGTCTTTGTTCTCTTCTTTCCTTTGCCTTGTCGTTTGCGTTTTTACCCATCTTTCTCCTTTGTCCGGTCTGTTGCTCGCCAGCTTTTTCTCTCAGTTCTCTTTCGTTTTGTGGCCTGTTTTCTTTAGAGAGAGAAAGAGAGAGATGTGGTAAGAATTTTAGAGAGAAAATAGCGGGTGGGTTCGAGTGATTGACCAAACACCAATTTTTGCTGGTCTCACGCCTACACCTATGTATTCGCTTGGTCAATTTTTCTTTTCATTTGTTCTTGGGGGTAAAAGGGGAAAACAAATTACCGCAGAAAAAAAAAATCAAAAAGAGAGAATATTCGCGTTTAAAACTCGTTCAAAAATAATTTTATATGAAAATAAAAATAAAAATATTTTCAATCTCAGATAAAAATTATTTTTAAAAATACATTTAGTAATTTTATTTAGAAATTATTTTCAGTATAAAAAAACCCATTAATATATATATATATCTCTTTTTATGCTTGAGAGAGAAAAAAAATGAAAACAAAAAATGAAAAACGACTAAAAATTATTTTTTATTTCTCTTTTATTTTACACTAAACTAAAAAATTATTTTCACTTATGTTTTTTATCTTTATTGCGCCAAACGTTATTTTAAAAACGTTTTCATTTTTTCTTTCTTAAAAAACGTGAAAAATAAAAATATAATCAATTTTAACCACGGTAGTTTTAGGGAATTTCTAGAATACCATCCATCCTTTTTAACTAATTAGTATAAAACTTGCTCCACGTGTACCGTTAGAGTTCATTATTTATTGAGAAATTTATTTATACAACTATTTAAGAATTTTTAAATTTATTTTTAAAAAAATATATGTGTAAAGATAATAAATGATAGAAAAATAAGTAGAGACACATTTAAAGAAAATTATCTGAACCAACAAAAATAAAAATAGAAACACATGTAAAAAAAAATAACAATATATTTTTGAAAAACACAAAAAAAAATAAAATGTAAACAATTTCACAAAAAATTAGATAAAAGAAGGAAAAAAGAGATAAGTGTAAGGGTTGCTACGTGGCAGCCTCATTAAAAAAATTTTACCTCTTTTATGTATGTTAGATTAGTTTTGTAACGTGTTATGCATGTATTTCTCTATTGAAGACTGAAAAGTTTATTATTTACCGAATAATAAGAAATTCATTTATACAACTATTTAAGAATTTTTAAATTTATTTTAAAAAAAATACGTGTTAAAAAAAATAATTGAAAAAAAATAAATAGGGATACATTTGATAAAAATTATTTTAACCAACCAAAAATAAAATAGAATCACATACGAAAAAATTACTCTCGTAGAAGGAAAGTGATAAATAATATATTTTTAAAAGCACACAAAAAATTAAAATGTAAAAGAAAATTCACAAAAGAATAAAGATAAAAAGAAAAGCAAAAAAAAATTAAAAAAACAAAAAAAGGAAAAAAAACAAAAGAAAAGTAGAGGAGCTGACATTCTATGTATTGTTAGAATAGTTTTGAATGCACGTGTAATTTATTTAAAATAACGGTTATATAAATTATTTTAAAGAAAAGAGTGACAAGAAAAAAACACAAAAAAAAGAATATAAAAGTGAGAAAAAGAGTTGAAGTAAAAGACACAAAAATATATTTTAACTTATTTAATTGAGTTTTTGATAGTTCTATTTTTTTATTTAATTTAGTGTGATTTTAATTTATTTAGTAAATTTTTGTTTAAAATTTTTTATTCATAGTATTTTTATCTCAATAATATCAAAATTTTGGTACAAAACAGCGTTAAAATAACAGTTATGTAAATTATTTATTTTATAAAAAAAAGAAAAAAGATGAATAAGGGAAAATGATGTAAAAGAAAACGAACACAAAAGTGGAAAAACATTTGAAGTAAAAGCACGGGGAAAAAGTTTTAAAATTTATTTTGTTGCGTTTTAAATTAGTTTTATTTTATTTCTATAAATTTTTTATTTAATTTAGTGTGCATTTACTTTATTTTAGTGTATTTTTGTTTAATTTTTTATTTAAATTATTTATAATATTTTATCTGCGTAGTATAGAAAATTTGGTGCAAAAATTTGTTAAAATGGACAAAAATGAACCACAAATAAGTTCAAAATAAATAAATAAATAAAACAAATAATAGTAAAAAAAATTAAAAATTATTTCAAACATATCGTCATTATTGATGACTCCGATGGGTGCGTGAAGAGCACGCGCAGGCAGAAGCGCATTAGTGTTGGTGGGAGCAACTTTCCACTTTTCATGTGGGTGAAAAGAAGGGAAAAGTTTTATAAATAATATAATAAGTTTAATAAAAAATTCATAAATTAAAAAATGAACAATTTATAAACAAGTTTAATAAGTTTTCAATTTTTTTACTCTCATTTTGCAAACAATTTATTTATTTTTATTTATTTTTTAGTAAATGATACGCTGTCATATTTCCACTTATTTTCGTGGTGTTTTAAATTAATTAGACCCCAAATCACTTTAGATAAATAAATATAATAAGTAATAATAGTAAAAGATAAAACCAAGACATTTTTCGGTCGTCGAATTAATACAACCAACGGTCGCGATTGGCACGTGAGCAACACGCTCAGAGAGTTGCGTGTCTGACAAAGGGGCAATAGACAACTTGGCAGCTTTTTTGCAGGTGGGCCCTTCTATGTCTTCCTTTGGTCAATGATAAGACAACACATGGTAGGGACGGTCGCCCACTTAAGGCCTGCACAAAATTAACTGCTCTGTTTCTATGTGAACTCGGTTCTTTTATCCATTTATTTGTTGACACGTGATCGTTATTTTGAACAACTAAATAGAAGTTCGCCACGTGGATTGCACTTTCAGAGACCGCCAATTGACAACTGACTACGTGACATTTTAACTAAATACGTCACACCGAATCACTTTCTCATCCATAAAAAAAATTGACTTGAGTTAATTTTGGGGGGACAAAACGGATAAAATGTTTCATCCTCTCCCTCAAAAAAATGCTTTTAGATAGAGATTAATTCGATAACAATTCCAATTGGTAGTCCATCCAAAAACAAGCCGTAAAATTTTTTTTATTTTTAAAAGTTAATAGGCGAAAATAAAAAATAGTTAACAAAAAAAAACTCTGTTCATGATGTTAGAGCTAAAAAATTCTTAAAAAAAAGAATTTTATGAATATTTGATGCATTAAAAATACAAAAAAAAAAAAAAATCCGTAAAACTTATATGGTACTTTTTTCTTTTTACCTTGCATAAAATCTTTAAAAAAGGGTTAAAAAGAGTGAGAACACCTTCAATGGTAAGATTCGTGTAGATTAGTTAGCCTTATTTCAATTGATTTAGGGGTTTACAACGATCTATTTTTTGTTGTTATTTGATCATGATGTTAAATTGCTGTAGTCAATAATTTTGATCTAATTCATACGTACTATTTTGATATATGAAAATTAAAGTCTTTTCATAACCTAATTCTGACCTAAATTGGTAAGAAGAGTAACAATAAAATTAAAAGTTTTAATACGAGGGTATGAGTCCTGTTTCTAGTAAAAGGGGTTAAACCTTCCTAAAGCGTAAAAATTGATTATTAACATTGTTAGCTTCTGAACTTCAGCAATTTTTTACTTTTAACAAATTACTGCCTGAATTTTGTCTTAAAGTAGTTTTGGTCCCTAACCTTTTACACAAAGGATTTTTAAAATTTAACAAAGGTAGTCATGTCTCAATTACAATGATGACTTAAAACTTAACAAAAATAGCTAAATTATTGCTTAGTTTGGTATTGTTTTTTCCTATTAAAATCAGTTTCTGTTTGTAGTAGAAGCTGATTTTAGTGTTTGGTAAATCTCCTTAAAAGTGTTTTTTGAAGACTTTTAAAAAAATCTACAACCAAAATCAGAAGCAACCTAAATCCAACTTTAGCTTTTAGATTGTGCACGAATCAGCATAGTACAATTAATGAAATTTTCATAATACCAATAATACTCCTAATGAAATTTAAAATTTACAATCTTCTCAAGTTAAAAATCAAACTCGTAATATAATATAATATAATACAATAGTTATATTGTAACAAATAATATCATAATTATATTAATAACTCTAATATTATTATTTTATTAACTTCATAATTTACCAAATGCTGTTATACTGATTTTAGAATCAGCACATCTACTATAATTATAGTTTACAAAACACTTAACTGCTTTTTATAACAGTTGTTTCTTTTTTTAGCACATCTAAAAATAATTTTTCTAAAATCTATAGCACTACCAAACTAAACTTATATGTCAAATGTTCTTTTCATTCATTATGTTGAACTTCATTTAAAATAAGAATATCTTTCACTTATGTAACCATTTATATAAAATTTTTAGTTGTTACACAATTTAAAAGTGATTTTCGATATTAACCTTCAGAAATCTTTTATCAAGTTTAGTTCGTGGGACCAAAACTGTTTTAAAAAAAAAAAAGCTAAAGGAATAATCTGCCAAAAAAAATAAGTGAGAGGTCAAAGTATCATATAATGTTCAAAGTTCAAAGACTAACAATGTTAATAACTGAAAAATATAAGGGTAGTTATGTAATTTTAAGAAACACTATCTCGACGCGAAGGAAGAAATTCAGTAACCGCCGCCCAACCCTAATCACAGACCCAGTGCCTCATCGCTCGAAGTTGCAGGCGAGAAACTCACCGGCCATATCTTATTGGTAATTTTTTCCAATCTTTTTCGTTTTATACAGTTCTTTTACTCCAAAATTCGATAATTATTTTTGTCAGCTTTCGATGAATTCGCTGGTTGGGGTGATGGGGATTTATTTATCGTTTTTCGGAGATGATTTATTCGACTCAAACATATGGTGGGCAAGCTTAGAAACGCAGAATAAAATATAACCCAGAACTTTGATTTCTAAAGGAGTGATAGAGAAAAATGGTGATTTTCTTGTTCTATTTGTGAGATAAAGAAAAGGGTTTGTTTGATTTCTGTAGACTTTTGCTGGGTTTCCCGTGGAATATCTTTTTTCTTCATGGGAAACGAGAAGAAATTTCTTGAATATTGTATGTGCTAAATGCAAATTGGGGAACTTATTGCGTCCGTTTGGAAAATTTTGAGAAAATTGAATTAGGTTATTTGTTTGATGTTTTGCGTCATTTCAGATTTGTGGGGGTTGCTAGTGTTTTGTTCTAGTTAATTCTAGAAATTAGGTTATGTTTTATGTTTTTCCTTCTTTCTTTCCTTTTTCTTGCATCAGTATGTTTTAAAAATGGTAAATGTATTATTTGTGAAATTTGAGGGTGAAAATTATGGCTGAAAAAGAATTTCAACGTACCTTTAAGTGATATTTATGATGTTATGGAAGCTGAAAAGGGTTGTTGGGAGGATGATATGGATTGCGAAACTGAGAAAAAAAGGGCAAAAGAAGAAAAAGATTAGGCTAAAATCCAATGGGTGGGACCATTTACTAGGATTAAGGTAATTATTATGGGAGGGATTATGCTACTCTCATGAGAGAAGTGGAACTAGGTGGAAGTTGCGACAAGCTGATGGCTGCAGATTTTTACTACCATGTGGCTACCAATCTAACACTATGTTTCCTTTTGATTTTTTTCTTAACCATACCCCTCGAAGTTATCTGTATGCTCACACCAATTTGCCATTTCGAAAAATTCTTCCATGTGCTAAACAAAGAACTAGCCCTATTTTTGTTCCGTTCATTATCCTGTTTTACTCAAGCAAGCTTGAAAATTCTGAATCATTGTGAAGGATGCTTGATGTTCTCATGACGGATGTGATTTGAAGAATTGGTATTTGATGTCTGGGTGTTTGACAACAGTGGTGTTAATCGTTCTCAGATGGCTGCATGTTGAAAATTTTGTATTTTGTCGAGTTTGGTGTTTTCTATTATGAAGGGAAACTAAGGGGTTTGGTTTGCTCATGGATGTGATCTTGGGTGTGTTGTTGTAATGCCGTTGTAGTTGTAATTTGGACAGGAAGGAGATTGTTGCAGTGCGGCGGTGGTGGGGTGGTGGTGTTTTTGCAGATCGGTGGTGGTGTTTTTGCAGATCGGTGGTGGTGGTGGTGTTAATAAGTGTTGTTTTTACCATGGGTTCAGACAGTAGAAGCCGAAGCAGGAGCAGGAGCCCTATGGATCGTAAGATGCGTTCTGATCGCTTTTCCTATCGTAATGCACCTTACAGAAGAGAGTCACGTCGGGGTTTCAGGTTTTCTGTCTTGTGACCATATATTTCTTGTTTTTATTTGTTTATTGCGGGTTATCAAAGAGGATATATAGTCAAATGGTATTCATTAAGCAGTAAAATTTTATATAAGTTTCACTAGTATTTTGTCTATCGCGTAAAATGGTGCTTGCCTCATAGTCTCCTTTAGCAGTGACCGATGTGCATGTGTTTGCTTCTAGATGCAAAAAACCCGAAACCTTTATAGTGCTGGTTGCTATTGACTTCTAATTTTTATCCTCCTGCAGCCGAGACAATCTGTGCAAGAACTGCAAACGGCCCGGCCATTATGCTAGAGAATGCCCTAATGTGGCAGTTTGCCATAATTGTGATCTTCCTGGGTAAGTAAAATTGTTTTTGTTTTTGTTATTATTATTTTGCTTTTGTTTGAAACGTATGACATTCTTAATACTTAAATTTAAGATATCAACGATTCAGACTGTTGTTTGGTCATGCAATATTAATGTGGTCTTCTTGAAATTTAGCTTTAAAACCTCGTGCTAGTTTCTTGGGAGCTGGATCATGGATGTTTGTTTTTCCATCCAAAAAATAAGAAGGCTTTCATTTTTTTTCCCCCGAAGAAGCCTTCATTTTTTCATATTCATCAAATACGCTACAATTTTGTGAATTTGAGACCAGATAGGTTGCTTCCGTTGCCTATGTTTGGAGCAATGTTGATATGACTGATGCTGCCACCACTGTCACTGAGTGTGTGATGATGTAACCCGAATATGACCTTGTCAAGATCAGACCATTCTTTCATCAACAAATAAACCCAGTCCCTCTCTTTAGGAAATGATTAGTATCTCCTTAATCAAAACCAACCCTGTTTCTTTATCCTTCAAGTATCTGATTAACTTCTTCATAATCACTTTCCTTGTTGTTGTTGTAGTGTGTGTGTATATATATAACTATTTGTTCATATATATATATATATATATATATTTGCATATACAAAAAAAACTTATTAAACCTTCTATGCCTGCATCAATTGCATTTGTTTCTTAACGTTCATGTCTAATTTAATGTTCACTGCCTTGTTGATTTTATTCCACCGCCATCCTAATTACAGTCCATCTTGGTTGCGCACATCATCCCTTCTCTTTTCTCAGCATTAATTATCGTTCGAACACATGGCACTCCAAGTCAGTATGTTCAGCAGTCTGCACTCTTCCTTATTGCATGCCTCTTCCTTTTCCCTTTGCTCTCTTTTTTCTCCTCTTAAAAAAAAAAACCTTGTTTTTGTTTACTAATTCGTTTCTACCCAATAAGAAGGAACTTTAAGGATAACAATAAGCTTTAAATTCAATAACAAGTGTTTGTATACACTCTAGGAATGCAATGTCTTGCTCACTCGGGTTTCATAGTGTTAGTCAAACTTTAAGAAGTTGTAGGAAATAAAGTGAAAAGTTTTACAAATGCACCGAAAATTTTCCATCTCTGACTTTTTATGACTGCATTTGGAAATTTATAACCTTGCACCTTAAAGTAGATACGTGTACCTTGTGGTATATGTGGCATGTCATTAAATTCTCTTCCCTGATGATTATTACGTGGTTGATTTGTGATATTTAATAATATTCTTCTTGATCTGGAGATTCTTTTATCTGTTGTTTTCTCACTCAATCGGTGGAGCTTAAAACTCTTATCTGCATAGTCCTAATTATGTTATAAAAAATTTGACCAGGCACATTGCTTCGGAATGCACTACCAAGTCGCTGTGTTGGAACTGCCGGGAGTCTGGCCACATGGCTAGCAACTGCCCCAATGAGGGCATCTGCCACACTTGTGGTAAGGCCGGACACCGTGCTAGAGAGTGCACGGCTCCGACAATGCCACCAGGGGATGTGAGATTGTGCAACAACTGCTACAAGCAGGGGCATATTGCTGCCGACTGCACTAACGAGAAGGCTTGCAACAATTGTAGGAAGACAGGTCACCTGGCACGCGATTGTCCAAATGATCCCATATGCAACACATGCAATGTGTCCGGGCATGTCGCCAGGCAGTGCCCCAAAGCCAACACTCTTGGAGAGCGCATAGGTGGCGGGGTTCGCAGCAGTGGTTATGGTCATAGAGATATTGTTTGTAGGAACTGCCATCAGCTTGGTCATATGAGCAGGGATTGTATGGGGCCCTTGATGATTTGTCACAACTGCGGGGGACGGGGTCACTTCGCCTACGAGTGCCCTTCTGGCAGGTTCATGGATCGCTACCCCAGGAGGTATTGATGAATGTCACACTATCTGGCTGCAGTATCTTGTTGAGACAGTGTACTTGTTTTCTAGATTAAAAAGTTGAAACTTGACCATCTATGACGAGCCTTGAGACCCTATTCCGCATATATGAGCATATTTTCTGTTCTATTGATAATTGAATTTTCTTGTACTGTGTATGGATTGGGAATTTTTTATTGCGCTTGAGAGGTTAAAGAACTACTCCACTAGTTATTTTACCTGATCATCTGTATCTGCAATTTCTTGTTCTTCCTTATGATAGTGTACTGCCATGATTTTTTTTTCCTCTCTTTTTTGAGAAAGTTATGTGGATTTGAATTGGTGATTGATTTTAAATCTATTTTGTGGAACAAACAATTTAACGAGGTCTTGGTTGAATATCTCCCCATAGAAGGTGACGACTAGAATATCATGCAGGCACTGAAGTGGAGAGGAGTTAATACAATATTGTACCCTCTTTATAAGTCTTTTTTGTCCATTGTCGTTTTTTAACTGAATGGTTCTTCTCATTCAATAGGCCGGTGACTCTGCTTTGGTCTTAAACTATTTCTAATTTATTTTGTTCATGTACTACTTTTGAAGTTAATTATTCGATTGTACTATTTTGATGTGAAAATTAGGTTTCTTGTATTCTTCCAATTTACCTGTAAACTCATGGAACTTGTCCCAAAGAAGAAAATGGGGAGATTAAGGACCATGAAATTGATTTATGAGAAAAATAGAGAGATTTGATTTGTTGTTTAGTTTTGAACCATAAAGCCAAACTTATGTGCTACGGTATTTTTTTCTCGTAAAAATTTAAATAATAATAGAAATATATTATGTTTTTGGAAAAGCATTTTAATTTTGGCCTTTTTCTTTACTAAAGGGATGTGATCCTAAATTTGCCAATAAAATATTGTAAAAACACGGCTCCAAGCAATTTTACCCAAAAAAAAAGTACTAATGCTATTTGGTGATAGCATTACCATTTAAGTATTATTAATACATAATAAAATGAGATTTAGTTTTCTAAAAATATTTTTCATGTGATATATATTTTAACCGTCACAGAAGCCAAAGTTGTATCGACTTCAATTGTACAATCCAAAATTATGCTTTGGCAGTCAATATTTGTTCTTAGACTCGACTATATTGTTGCCGTGCTCATTTTAATTGGTTATCCAACAATTCTGTTATGAGTGCGCACTTGTTCTTGAGCGCGACTATAATGTTGCTCCGCTATATAAATTTCAATGTAATTGACTAATTGAAATTAGAGAAATAGTAGAAAATAGGCCAATATGAAAAGGTTAAGAAAATATATAGGCTAATTTTTAGTTATAGAAATTAATATGTCATAACTTGTTAAGTTATGGTTCATAACCAGATAAGTTATGGACAAACTTGTCAAGTTATGGTTCATAACCATACAAATTATAGACGAAAACAGTAATTTGGCCTATTTATTAACTTATGTAAACTATTGGCCTATTAATTTTAATTCATCTCAAGCCTTGGCCTATTTCCCTCTTTCTCCCTTGAAATTATTATTATAGGGCCCGTTTAATTCACTGATTCAAATTTTTAATTTGAGTTAAGATTTGATTTTATATTAAAATTTTTTACTGTAATAAAAAAAATAGATATAACTGTTTCTGATAACTTTTTACTCTAATAAAATTTAAATTTTAAATTCGAATCACTAATGAGCGGGAATGTGTTGACTAAGGGAGCATCCAAGAAAAGAAAAAAAAATCATTATGTGTTATTGTTTTCAATTTAATGGATAGGAAGACGTGTCATTAGTATGAGTGCCATAATCTTTTGGAGAGAGAGAGTTCTTGATTGAGGGTTACGAAACATACCATTTTCAGAAAATTTTATGAAATTTGCTCACCAATATCTAATTTATGACATCCTAGTACATAAGTTTAAAAAATAGTGCAAATGATCTTTTACGGGTAAAAATCGTTATTTCACTCAATCAGAACTGTTATTTTATCTGTTAGATCATTTTAACTATCTAATTTATGAATAAAATCAATTTTGAGTCATGCTGTAAATGTTTACATGAACATTAATAGATTCGATTATTAGAGTATGTTTGATGAAAGTGTTCAAACCACAATTTAAATGGACCTGATATAGTATTTTTTTTAAGAAAAAATAAATTCTAGTTCAAATTATGAACCATTACGATAATGGGGGAAAAAAAAAAAAGAGCTAAATTGCATCATTTCATTAATGAAATGATTTAAATAATCCATTTATTTTTAATTTTAAAAGACTATTTTACTCTCTGATTAAATTATTAACAAAAAGTTTAAATTGATAATATAATAATTTAATAAAGAATTATCGTCTATCTTTTTAATTTTCTCTCCATCTTATTAAATAATACAAAAAATTATTACAATTCTCTCTATTTTTCATACTCTTAATCCATCTAACTGTCTTCATTCTTTTTACTCTCTATCTCTCTAACTAAACGAGCTTAAGAGTTGGCGAAGAGCAATTTTACTTTAAGAAATGTTAATGTCACTTTTCAATCACTTTTTAAATTATTTTTTATATTTATTATTTAATATATAAATTTTATTATCTCATTTTTTTATTTAAATAATAACAGATCACGTGAATAGAATTTATATATTAAATAATACACGTAAAAAGTGGCAGAAAAGTACGCTCTCACATCCTTTGAATATTCAACCTTTCTCATGGCATAATTAACTTCATCCCAAAGTTTTGTCGTTTTCACATAGAGATGGGCCATTTATTACTGGTTAGTGTGTGTGTGTGTGTGTATATATATATATATATATATATTTTTTTTTTTTCTCTGGTAGGCGCTGGAAGAGTCAAAAGAGTATTATGCAATTTATGGGCCAACATGAAAGAATAGAGATCTAATGTTAACCCACATGCTAGATAGTGGAAAGGGACATAAATCTAATGAAAATGAAATCCCATAGTATGTCATGGCTGACGGCATGTATTTTATCTTTAGCCGGGATTAAACATTTCAGTGTGAAATTGTCAAAGTAAAGGGAAATTTCGGGCCTTCGATTCGTTAATTCGTGTTTTTAATTTGAGTTGAGATGTGATGTTATATGAGAGTTTTTTACTGCAGTAAAAAAATTAGATATAACTGTTTTTGAGTTTCAGTGTGAAATTGTCAAAGTAAAGGGAAATTTCGGGCCTTCGATTCGCTAATTCGTGTTTTTAATTTGAGTTGAGATGTGATGTTATATGAGAGTTTTTTACTGCAGTAAAAAAATTAGATATAACTATTTTTGAAAATTTTTTACTATAACAAAACTCAAATTATAAACTCGAATCAGCAAAATGAACGGGCCTTCTTATATTTTCTCAACTTCATTTACCAAATTGAAAAACAAAAAGAGAAACTTTTCTAATTGATGGTGTAAATACTGCCCTCTCAAAGCCAGAAAAAGACGCAGTAAGTTGTTGATTTAAAATTTTAATTTAAATTAAGATGTAATTTTATATGATAATTTTTTATTATAATAAAAAGTTAAATGTGAATATTTCTAAAATTTTTTTATTATAGTAAAATTCGAATCGATGAAATGAACGAAACTTAATATGTAGAGAGTTCTGCTGTAAGATAAAGAGGAAAAAAAAAAGATTTACATAGAATAATTCTGTGTTAACATGAAATGCTTATATTTCTAAAAAAAAATTACATTAAAAACGTAGTGTAACATTCAAATACGTAATTCAAATTTTAAAAATTAAAATCCAACATGAAAATTGTCTTCCGAAATCAAAATATTTACTTTTTATGGAAAAAATATTTATTTCTATACAAAAAAGTTTTTTTTTACATATAATCCTTGTGCGTTACGTAAATTATAGATATATTCCCTTGGTCGAAGGTGTGACGATGAAAGTGAGGGATACTGACTTAAATCATTTTGGTGAAAAGAGTGCCCAATGCCCATCTTGCCTAAACAAAACAAAATATATGTCAACGTAGTTCTTAAAAAAAAAAAAAATCTAAAGCTTACATACAAAATGCCGTGTGACATTGAAATACTTTAACCAGAAGGATATAGAAAATTTGTTTTTTTTTTCCTTACAAAAAAAAAAATATAGAAAACTTGGTCTGTTTTGAGAGCTTTTTCAATAGTCCATTTTACCGGCAGTCTCAGTTTTTAATTGTTAGACTTAATTAAAATAACATTAAATTAAAAAAATATATAAAACAGACATATTTTAATACAGATTTGACAGTTGAAAAATAAAAGTACGTTTAGTTAGTATATTCATGTCATGATTTGAATAATAGTTCGTGGTTCGTTACAGTATTTTTTTCATAAAAAATACACATAAAATTAAAAATAATTTTAAATCATGATTCTGAATCTATAAACTAAACGTACATTAAGAATATCGGTAACTCATTTTTACAAGAATTACCTTTTTTTTTTCCTTCTAGAAGCGAACGGCCTCAAATCCATTCACACGCATCTGACTCATCTCATCTCATTGGCTTATGTATATCTATATCCATATATATATATAGTATCAATACACTCTTATATGAAAGAAGCATTCTAATAAAGTCAGTCGTCTTAAACTCTCTGTCGTACAAACCAGTTCCGGTGTTTTGGGTACGATTTTCTCAACTCAATCAAATTCAAAGCAAAACCCATCTGGTATTTCTCTCTTCTTTATCAATTTCTTTATAATCCCATGCTTGTTATCTTCTTTTTAATCTCTTCTTGATGTTCTTCTTCTGTTTGGAGTTCTTATTTCTCTTTCTTAATTAAACGTGTGGTGTATGGCAAGATGGGGTACGATTTTTCTGAAGTTGCTTTTTTTTTTTTTTTTTGGCATGTTTGGTGCTTTTGTTTGTTTTGGTGAGAACAAATTTATGCATTCATTTGTTCTTTATAAGCCATTTGTTGATTACTAATGTTTTGTTGACTGTTATTATTATTATTTTTTTTTGGAATAGAACTACAAAACTGTTAATATTATCTCATAAAAAGTTCTCAAACTATTTTCTCTTTCTATAAATAATCCCTCTATTAAAAGTTGTACTAAATTTAGCTCCCAAACTAAAAAAAATAAAAATAAAATAAATGTAATTCATTTATTAAATAAATAGATGAGAAATATTAAATATGAGAAGTAGTACTATGTATAGTAGTTCCTAAACTAAAAAAAAAAAAAAATGCCAAAATTAGTTTGTTTTTGCTACAAATATTTTTCAATTTTTTTATTCTATTTATTCACATATGTAACTTTGATAAGGTTTTTTTTTGAGTGAATATAATTGTCCCACTATATAAATAAATGTTCTAAAATTATTACTCTCGGATAATAATCTCTAAAAATATATAGTTTTATAAACATCTTTTGTATCATATCTATTATAACCATGCACGAAGATACATATAAGTTAGTGGGAATACGTGCCTTCACTCAATAATTTAAAACATGAATACATATTTAAATTAATGTCAATATTATTTTATCTTAAAGAATATATAATTAAAGAAAACAAACAATTTATACACGCACTTTACACGCACAAATCTAACTAAATTTCTCAACTTTTTTTTATAAGAAATAATGAGGAATTATAGACAATTTTCCATTTCCTAAACGATTATTATATCATCAATAAAAATAGAAGCAAGCAAAAAAAAAAAAAAAGTTCCCTAAAGAAAGAATAAAAGCAATTAACTACAAATTTCAATCATCTATACACCAAACCGTGTGGTACAATTGTTATATATTATTTATTGTAATAAAAAACAAAAATATTTTTGCTTATGTGGAATTATATAGAAGCTGAATGAGTGTAAATAGAAGCACTCTTTTTTTTTAAGGACTATATTTTTACAACTACTCATATTTAATGTTTTTCATTTATTTATTTAACATATGAACTAATTTTAGCATATAATAATTATTTTTTTTAATTTAGAAACTAAATTTAGTGCAACTTCTAAGAAAGGGACCATTATAGAGAAATTAGAGAGTGTGGGAATTTTTTATGAGTCAAAGTTAACGGCTTCCATCTAAAATTTAACAGACGGACCATTTATGAGACTTTTTTAGAGTTCAGGGACTGTTTATAAGACAAAATTGACTACATGAACTAATTCTATAGAGATAAATAATTTCAGGGACCATTCAGAGATTTATTCCTTTCATTTTTGTTGCCTTATTTTTATAACCTACCCATATCCCTTTTTTTTTAATTTTTTTTTTGGGGAAACCATATATTTGTTAAGCAAATTCTCCAAACCTCAAAGTTAAATTTCAGCGTACTTGTTTAAAGAGATTAAGAAATCAAATTATTTTCAACTTCACCAAACACTACTTGTATAATTTATGTCCCTTAATTTGCACGGCTCTCTCTTGAAGTTTCCAATTTTTTCTTCTAAAGGAAAGAAATCAATCTTCACACAATAAGTGAACAAGTCTAATGCTTGTTTATCATTTTTGGAGGAGAATTCTTTGGTAGGTAGAAAATAAGAATAATAATAAAAATCCTTACGGTATTCTTTAGTTTTGAAGAAAAGAAGGTATTAATATTGTTGAACACCACACACACTAACAGAAGATGGGTTAGATTGGATGGGGATACGAATGAGGTCAACCTTTTATTAGTTGTGGTGTATAGCATCAGTGGTGTAAGGGACATTTTTCCTATCAATATAAGATCGTGCTTTGAATTTGTTTTTTCTGTTATGATATGATTCAAATTTAATTTGATGGTCCATTACTGCACATTAATTGTTAGAATTGTCATACTTTTTGCTACCATAAACTTGATAGTCCTTTTGAAAAACTTTAGTTTTAACTAAATGTTTCAACAATGGCAGAACAAAATGGCACATGGTTTTGGAGATTGTTTGCTATCTTTTACAATTATATTATTGGCATTGAGCATACCATGTTCACAATCTCTGAGGATCAAAAACAGAATCAAGACAAAATCTGCTGTTTTCTTGTCCCCCAAGTTTGATCTGGGACCAGGATCAGTGCAGGACAAGAATTACTATGACATTGATTTCCCAAGAGGTCACATTGCATTCAAAAGATTTGACGCTGAAGTAGTTGATGAAGCAGGGCGTTCTGTCCCTCTTCATGAAGTTTATCTTCACCATTGGGCCCTCGTGAGGTATCGTATTCGAAAAGGTGTCCCGGATGCAGAACATGATGCCACTCAGAGACGTAATCAGTCAGACTTTGTGCTTGTAAGGAACAGTGGGATATGCCAAGGGAATGCTCTAGGGCAGTACTATGGCATTGGCTCAGAAACACGAAAACTTTCCACGTTTGTTCCCGATCCATATGGGATGGAGGTTGGAAACCCTGCAGAGATTCCTGACGGGTTTGAGGAGAGATGGTTTCTCAACGTGCATGCGATAGACACAAGGGGTGCGGTTGATAGGTTGGGATGCACTGAGTGCAGGTGCGATCTGTATAATGTCACCAAGGATGAGCATGGCCATCCTTTGAGTCCAGATTACATTGGAGGCCTGCGCTGTTGCTATGATCAAACACAGTGCAAAGTGAGAGAAGGCTTTCAGGGTGCCAGGAGAAGCCTCTACCTTAGATACACCGTGGAATGGGCTGATTGGTCTGATTTTATCTTGCCTGTTCAGATCTATATTTTTGACGTAACAGACACTTGGACTGGTTTGAACTCGGCCGAACACAATTGCATAGTAAGTGAATACACCCTTCTCTTAAATGCTATGTAACTATTGTGTTAAAACTATCAGAAGTTTTGTGGAATCTTCAAAACGTCTTCAAGGCATATTAAGCTGATTCGTTACCATTGTGCATTGAATTAACTATGTTGTGTACACTTTCAATACATGCTAGAGTCCTTCAAGTTTTTGTGCATGTTATAATACACTCAAACATAAGTTAATGTCAATCGAATGAGAGCTTAATGCATAAATTATCTTCCTCCCTGAGTCAACTTATTTTTCTTTGTGCCAGGTTGAATATGATATTGCAAAATCTTGCAAGACTACTACTGATGGGACGAATCATGAGTGCATTGACACTAAAAGGAACAAGGCCAGGATACCGTCTAGCGGATATATCGTCTATGGCGTTGCACACCAGCATACAGGAGGACTCAGTTCAACACTGTACGGAGAGGTAATCTGTTTCTGCAACCCTTCATTTTTACTCGTGTTGATTCCATCAGAAAGTTACACGCACTACTAGGAGCAAGCATGTGCAGGATTTGCTGCAACTTTTATTTGCAGTAAATTTGGATACATGAGAATTTTGTTTGGCATATGACTATTTGCATTAGTTGGGAATATTCACAATTTTATTAGGCAGTCTTAATAAGTTGTTTAGGATGGGAACTATTTGCATTTGTTGGCGTTGTTCACAGCTTTTTTGGGCCATCTTTGTTGGTGTACATTCCTTGAAAATGATAGATATTGCAAGACAAAATGAGTTGACCAAAGGTTTGATTGGTGACTTGTTTACGAGCACATAGTCTATCTTAACACATGCCCCCTTTATACAATGTATAGATATAAGTAATATTGTATAAGAAAGAACTTATTTGATCTTTGATGTGGTGCTTTCGTCTGCGTGTTCAGGATGGGAGGGTGTTATGCTCGTCAATACCGATCTATGGAAAAGGAAAGGAAGCGGGAAATGAGAAAGGTTACATCGTCGGAATGACCACTTGCTATCCTCAACCAGGCTCTGTCAAGATACTTGATGGGGAGACTATGATTCTTGAGTCAAATTACAGCAGCAGCCAACCCCACACAGGGGTTATGGGGCTTTTCTACATTTTGGTTGCTGACAAATTGCCAAATCCATCTCTCTCCATGCACTCTCCACTTTGAATGAGACACCTTTCTTTTAAAGCACTACCTTTGTATGATTGGAGTTAATGTAGTGTATCTATGTCTTCAGGGATCTTGATGGGGCGTGCAATATAATTACTAAGAAGAATAAATTTGAGTTTGAGTTTGAGCTTGACAGTATGAAGAAATGTATCTCCAATGTAAACATTCAAGTTTTCTTGAGAAACAAGAATTTCTCTGGTATGCCTATCTTACTTATAGTGGCAGTTTCTGACTGTAGATCAAACTCAAAATTAAAACAGATTGAAAAATATGCAAAACAAGCATTTAAAAAATTTCCTTTCCAAGAGTGCCCAGATTCTAAGCTGACGGTGCAGTAGGAAGATAGAAACCAAAACACAGCCTTATACGACAAAAGGGGTTTGCTCTATTATTATACATGCATGGCATGGCTGCTTTGCTTGCATTTGATGAAACATCGCCAGATTCACTCTCAGCTTAGCAAGAGAGGCCCAACTTTGAAATCACTGCGGACATGGCGCCACGTGCGAATTAGGCTGTTCCAAAACAATAATTTTGTGTATATCACATGGTTGTCATATTTAGTGGGTCCCAAATGATTGCAGTTAGATGCCAAATGCTGACCACATAGTGACCAGTGCCAAAGAGCTGATGAATCATAATCCTTTAGTTGTTTAGGCCTCGTTCATTTCACCGATTCGAGTTTTTAATTTTAATTTTATTACAGTTAAAATTTTTTATAAAAAGTCACATTTAACTTTTTTTGTTACAGTAAAAAATTTTCAAATAAAATTATATCTAAACTTGAATTCGGGAACTGAAGAATGCCTTATTCTTTTCCTCTTGGCCGGTGCCAGACCAGATCACCAACGGTCGATCTTAACACGTTGTGGTCAATCTTAGCCGCTGATCATGTAGACGTCACATAAGAACTACTATCAGGTGGGCCCACGTAGAGTGCTTCATAAACATTTATTGGATAAGGGCGGTGGACTAGCGTGCTCTGGAACATCGGTATCAGGTGGACCCACACTGTATAATGCCTCAGCTTAATCTTTGATTTATAACTTGATTGTGAACTATTTGGCTTCCAAAAAAAAAAAAAAACCTGATTGAGAAAATTAACGGTAGTTCATATAGCTCAAAATAAAAAATTAACGGTAATTTATTTTTTTCTAGTTCTACTTAAGAAGCTCCCCCCTTCTTTAGTAAGATACGAAAGAAAAGAACAAAATCTAATGCTAACCCATCATACTATTACTGGATTGTGGAAAGGGACATAAATCCAATGAAAATGAAATCCCATATTATGTCATGGCTGACGGCGTGTATTTTATCTTTAGCCGGGATTAAACATTTCAGTGTAAAATTGTCGAAGTAAAGGGAAATTCCCTATATTTTCTCAACTTCATTTATCAAATGAAAAAACAGAAAGAGAAACTTTTGCTAATTGATGGTGTAAACACTGCCCTCTCAAAGAGAGAAAAAGATGCAATGGTTCGTTCACTTTACCGATTTGAATTTAGAATTTGAGTTTTATTACAGTAAAAAGTTTTTAAAAACAGTCCCATCTAATTTTTTTACTATAGTAAAAAACTCTCATATAAAAGCACATCTCAACTCGAATCAACGAAGTAAACATATAGAGAGTTTTGTGTAAGATAGGAAGGGAAAAAAACAAAAAAAGGATTTACGTACAACAATTCTGTGTATAACATTGAAATGCTTATATTTCCTTAAAAAAACAAGGGAAAAAAAAAACAAAATTTACATAAGAACGTAGTGTAACATTCAAATACGTAATTCTAATTTAAAAAATTAAAAGCCAACATAAAAAATGTCTTTTGAAATCAAAATATTTTTTTTTATGGAAAATATATTTATTTCTATACAAAAAAGTTTTTTTACACATAATCCTTGTGTGTTACGTAAATTATAGATATATTCCCATGATTGAAGGTGCCATGATGAAAGTGAGAGATATTGACTTAAATCATTTACTTGAAAAGAGTGCCCACCTAGTCTAAACAAAACAAAGTACATGTCAACGTCGTTCTTAAAAAAAAATATAAAGCTTGCCTACAAAATGTCGTGCGACATTGAAATACTCTAACCAAAAGGATATAGAAAATTTTTTTAACAAAAAAAAAAAATTATAGAAAACTTGGGTCTTTTTTTATTGGGAGTTTTTTTATAATCTGTCTGGCTGATAATCTTAAATTTTAATTATTTAAATATGATTAAAATTAAATTAAAATAAAAAAATATACATAATATATAAATTTTAATATTAATGTTACGATTAAAAAAAATTTTAAAATAAGAAATTATTGATAATTAATTTTTATAAAGATTGCCAGTGTTCTTTTTCTTTTTCTTAGAAGTGATGGCCACAAATCCATTCACACGCGTCTGACCGACGCTCTCATCTCATCTCATTGGCGTATGTATATCTATAGGTCTCATTCACTTTGTAAATTTGAGTTTTCAATTTGAGTTGAGTTGTGATTTTTTTTTAAAATTTTTTACTATAATAAAAAAAATTAGATGTGACATTTTTTAAAATTTTTTTATTATAAAAATCTAAAATTAAAAACTTAAATCAATAAAATTAACGAGGTTATAATTTCAATATATTACCGTATGAAAGAAGCATTATAATAAAGTCAGTTGTCTTGAACTCTCCGTCATACAAACCAGTTCCGGTATTTTGGGTACGATTTTCTCAACACTATCAAATTCAAAGCAAAACCCATCTGGTATTTCTCTCTTCTTTATCAATTTCCTTATAATCCCATGCTTGTTATCTTCTTTTTAATCTCTTCTTGATGTTCGTCTTCTGTTTGGAGTTCTTCTTTTCCTTTCTTTAAACGTGTGGTGTATGGCAAGATGGGGTATGATTTTTTCTGAAGTTGCTTTCTTTATTATGTCTTTTTTTTTTTTTTTTTTCCTTTCTCTTGTGTTTGCATGTTTGGTGCTTTTGTTTGTTTTCTTGACAACAAATTTATGCATTCATTTGTTCTTTATAAGCCATTTGTTGATTACTAATGTTTTGTTAGCTGTTACTTTTTTTTCTTTTTATTTAGAATAAATTTATGAATACCCCTGAACTCTTTTCTCTCTTTAGAATTAATCATGTAGTCAATTTTGTTTTATAAACGGTCTTTAAACTCTAAAAAAGTCTCATAAATAGTCTCTATTATTAAATTTTAAATAAAAATTATTAATTTTATCTAGAAAACTTGTTTTTCCTCTATCTTCGAAGCCTAGGTGCCCCTTTACAAAGCCTAGGTGCCCATTTTTCAATTTTGCTCCAAAAATTCTCAAAAATCACCAATGGACTCCAACTGAAACAAACCTACAAAATAAGTTGAAAACACATAAATAACTCCTAAAAACACCTAAAAACTCACAAAATAATGAGTTAGAAAAACGCAAATGTAAACACATATTCAACTCATCAAAAACCCCACAACCAATTTTAAGATTTCATGACTAGAAATGTGAGATTTGAGTCGCCGGATTTTACCGACGTTGCCGGTCCCGATATGTACTATTACAGGCCAAATGGTGTGAAATTGACCGCATCAATGGACTCAGAAGTGTCAATTTAGGGGGGGTAGGACCCAAGTCTACCGCGAAAAAACTCTCCGGGAGCCTCCGCCACCGTACACCGCAGCAGTATTCTGGTGAGGTGTCATTTCTCAGGCTATCGACATCCGTTTGGTGATCCGAGACCATATCCCTACTCGTTTCGACGTGCTGAACGAAATGATGACGTCCGTTCAACCAAATTCAATTTTGATAAGAATGGTCTGGTACTAGTTGCACGCGGATCGAGGTGATTCGAACTGAACAAGTAGAGATCAGGATTGAGTGTTTAATGCTTCGATGTTCCTCAATGATCATTCATAGTGCTTGTAGTTTTTCCCAGAATTAGTTTGAGGAACACGCAGGAAGACACGACAAGTGAGATACTATCAGAACTGCTTAGCTTGGAATCCAGACAAGTACAAACCTTGCTTACAGTTTAATTAAGATAATCGTATAAGGCGTATGATTTTCACGAAATACGTTAATTATGAGATTCGTGAATTATGTTTATGTTTATGTTAAACGTCGTATATAGTTTTCCAATAGAACTTAACGGTTTTCAAATAAGCATGTAAACAAAAATCGTAAAAATCGATATGCTAGACCCTTAATTTTACGACGTTAAATACGGACCTCAACACTATGATGAGCCTGTCAAGTGCGGTAAAGTAAAGTTTATTAAAAGTGTATTATGGATGATAATTTAATTAATTATTAAACTAATTAATTAAATTATCTAAGACTTAGAATATGGTGAAGGAAGTTAATTAAGTACTAAAATTAATTAACTAAATTATGTAGACTTAGTATATAAATAAGAGGGTTAATTAATTACCAAATTTAGTTAACTAAATTATTAGACTTATTATATGGATGAGATAATTAATGAGTTATCAATTTAGCACAAATTTGTAATGGAAATTAAGGAAGACAGAATTATGAGGATTTAATTAATTCTTATAATAGAAATTACAAATTTTTACGATTATTAATAAAAAGGATAAATACGTTCTAAGGAAGGATGTAATTCCTTTATGACTATACTAAATAAAAATAACGTACTAAAAGTTAATCTCATCCTCTAAATAGGCGTTCCTTTACAGAACTTAGCAGTAGAGGATAGAAGGTCTGAGTGAGTAGAAATTCTGCTTTAACTGAAAATCAGGTAAGTAGGAATCTCGTCTACAGTATGAATAGATTTTAAAGAAAAAGTTACACATGTTATATATGCATGTTTATGCTTTAAGTATTGTATGAGATGCTATGTCATGCTGCATACACTTAAGCAGTGCACATGCATTATATGTGTTTGAGTACATTTAATGTTATGTATGCTATGCTAGGTCATACTGCATACACTTAAGAATTGCACACGAATTATATGTGTTTGAGTAGATTCCATGTTATAGTATGCTATGCTATGTCATATTGCATACACCTTAATAAGTCAAGAAGAACTTATAAGAATAATCTCAGTTGAGTGTCGTCCCAGCCTCTGAGAGAGAAGTAACTCAGGCTCCGCAAGGGAGAAGAAAAAAAATATAATAATATCCTCGAGAGGGAGGCATTCAATTCAGTTATAATCACGGTGTCTGTCACGCCCCCCAACCGGGGTGGGTGACGTGGAACTCGATTTGGGATTAATAAAGCA